TGGTCCCGGAGGTCGAGTCACAAGCTTCATTAAGAGGATGTTGTTGAATAGACTCGACCAACATGGCCAGCATCGGAGCTGGAGGAGTTACACCATCAGACAGGGCATAAGTTTTCTTCAAGATGTTCGACCGAGCCAGAGTCCTTTCGAGCAGCCTGTTTGTCCCATTTTTGTTGCATTTTTCGTTATTATTTTCTCATTCTTTTTCCCCTATTTTGAGTCATTTAGTTGGTTTTAGGTTCATTTTGTCGTTTATTGTGTGTTTTGTGTTGTCTTGAGTGCCCCGGTAATTTTTATGTTTTTTCCGGTAGTCTTCCGTTTGTGTTTTCGTTTTTGGTGTGTAGGTCGGGAGCTTCGGGAGAACAGGTTTCTGGTAAATTTTTGAGGAAGCTTACATCATTAGATAGAGGGGTTCGTTAGCTACGCGTAGGAAAAAACGAAACTCAATTCCGAGTTCGGACGAGCTCAAACGAAGCAAAACCGTGAAGCCGCGCAGTGCAGCCAACTTTCTCCGCGGCCGCGGAGGCCGCGAACCCAAAAATTTCTGCAGCTATTTCCCGCGGCCGCGGAGCAAGTCGCGGCCGCGGAGGTCGCGAAAACAGGTTTTAAAAGCAGATTTTTTGAACGATTGAGGATTCATTCTCTCCTCTTCTGGGAGACGAACCCTAGGTCCCGAGAACACTTTGAACACTCCTCTCTTCTCCTTCTCTTCTCTTCTTCTTCTTCTTCTCTATTTTTCTTCTTCTTTTTATCTTTATTTTCCATTTTTCACCTAGAAATTATTCTTGCTTTTGGGATTAAGCTTGTAATTGATATTCAACACTTGGATTTGAGATTAATCGTAAGTTTCTTTTCTCTTATGTTTAATTCATGAATAATGGTTGAATTGGGAGAATTGATTATGTGTGTTGGATTGAATTTACGTAGATAATCTTATCGCTAGGGATAGGGGAATGAGTGTTCTTGTTTAACGTGCATCTCTCGGGCTTGAAATTGTTTTTTCTTATGTGAGTTGTTTCGATTAGGGATTGATATATTCTTGCTTGATTGATTGATATAATCGAAGAGTGACACTTCGATCTTGCAATTGGTAACAATTGAATGTTGATTAGTCGAGTTAGGGTTTCGTTGATTCTAAGTGATTAGTCGATTAACACTCTTCTAGTTAAATTAGCGACTTCTTGAACCGAAAGGGGAGAAGTCGTAGACTTAGTCTCACATGAGGTAGACGATGTCGTAATTGACTAATCTACGTGTTTTAGATTGAAATACGCACTTGTCAATGACCCGTCCCTTGTTACGAAAAGTTATTGGGATTGGGATAATTAGTCTGTGTCGTATGCTCGAACTTGTTCGTCTATGTTCAATCCATTGTTAC